GAGTATCTCAACTCAGGTCGGGCCCCGTTCTATAAGAGTGCGCACTCTGGATGATAGTAAGGATGTGTGGGGAACTAGACGTGAGCCCAAGGGCATGGTAGTCCTGATCATCCTGGCAGCTGGTTGTCCCTGATTATGCGGCGCTGATCGAACCCACAAAATGTGGACCTGAGTTGTACCAAAGGTGACCTAAGACTACCTTGGTGCAGGTATGTCTGGGTTTGTGTTAGGAATAAATTTTCTAGCTGGTTGAAATCGATTTAAATCGCCGTCTCTCCCGGATAGCAAGAAACTCGACTCGCACTAGCATCGTAGTAATTGAACTATGGAATTTGATGGTTATGATGAATATGGAAATGTTACAACGGCTATGGTTACTATTGCATGTTACTAAATGATATTCCACATGTTTGGCATAGGTTAGTTGCTAATCTAGAGATGAATAGCTATAATTAACTTGATTACCGAATTATAAAACGTATAGCTCAACTAATGGCTTTTATGCAAAATGTTGTCAAGCTAGCTCCACCTATAAAGCCTTGCATAATCTTTGGAGTCACTTTGTTTCTGATTTATGACGGGTAAGTCTAGATGAGTATATTCGAATACTCAGGGTTTATCCCACCATGTTGCAGGTGAAGTTCTCGGCCTGCTGAAGATGGTGGCTAACCGCTAGAGGGCTCGGTGACTCTATATTTATTTCTCATATATATTCTTTTATCAGAGGATGTCACTTATGCTAGCAATGTATTTGGAACTTATATTAATGTAATCATTTGAAAGCTATGTTGTTTCCCTTAACCAGTTTTGAAACCCAAACTTGTACTATTATTTGTGAACCCATTTGTAATATTATTTCCGCTGTAACTCTATGTATGTGATGTGTATTTGCTTAATCATGCGATCTTGGTTGTGATGTTGATTTACCGAGGTCCTTCGTGATACTCGGCGGACTACCGGGTTTATATAAGTGAAAGTATGCACGCGTCAATGTGTTAAACGGGGACAGCCATACTTGATCTGGTATAAATTGGGTGGTTCTATCATAGAATATAGGTGCAAGTAGGGTCCGATTACGAAGGAAGAACAAACTCTGTTCTTAATCTTCCTTAGTAATATCCCTTATGTGTAGATATAAAGATGACCTTAGCCATGACTACTAGGTGTATTGCACAAATCAATGTATGCTTTGACTTATAATTAAGAATGACTTATAAATTATTCCTCTAATATTCTACTTAACCATGCTAATGCCATAGAAAGGAGTACTCTGAGTGATTTATCATTAATCCATACTTATCATATACATAATTTATCTTACAACTTACCCCTGTTGTGAGTAGAATATTGGTTATGGTTTACTTCTCCATCAATAGTATAAGTTATCAATACATGTCCTTGCTAGACCTTCCCTATGGTAAAAATATAAATAACGATACCTAGAATACTCTCGGGTAAAGTGCTACAATGGTATATTATCTATGCTCTTGTAGATTCCTTTCATTAATATATATTCTTTCTAGTCACATGAAAAATTAAAGTACTTCTTAGTGTCATTCTAGAAGTGGCACTAGATAGTACCAACAAGCATTTCTGGCACCAACATTAGGGATGACAACTTAGTAAAAGATGATAAGGAATGTAAACAACATAGGGTGACTACTTTAAACAAGTGACACATTAATAAATACCAACAGAGATCATGCTAGATAGGTCTATATAAATAGCCTATTGGCCAATTCCAAAACACATCTATTTGAGCTTCTATTTTTCCTCTTTCCGTTGTTGCGCCGCCACCGTAGCTCTCCACCCCGAGCGCCTGCATGCACTGGCGATTAGGAGAGTCGGTATTTAGAACCCTTATCCTTGCGATCCTACATCGAGAGAGGGTGGATAAGGTTTTTAGGTAGCGCTTTCGCGCAACTGATCCCAACCTGTCGTCTTCCATCCAAGTCAAGCAATGTTGCGCACCATCATGCTCGTCGCCAAGCGCATCAAGCTCTTGCTCCACCACTCATTAACGACTTTGTACCACTAGTAGCCATGGCGTCTCCATATGCAGATGAGAGATATGCACGTTTGTTGTTATTATTTCTTATGCTCAGGTAGAGAATTCTGCAGGCGTACATAATACTATTGTAGCACTTCACCAAGGAGTATTCCAAAGGTATCTTATTTACTTAATCCATAGGGAAAGTGGCAGCTAGAAATGATAATAAATGAGAGATCTTAGTGCTACCACAACTTAGTTATCAATAGTGTAGTGTTAAGCGAATATGGATAGGAAGGGTGATAAAACAATTCCAAGACACAAAGATAGAAATAACTCACAAAAGATAACTAGATAGGTATAGCTAGGTGGGAGGACAATGAGACAGTATAAACTTCCTATGATCTGTCTCTACTTCTATGGTTCTATCTTATACACACTACTACAGCGGACCTATCACAGTCGGCTCAGAACCCCCATCGCAGCCGGTTTTTGGCCTCAGCAGTAAATGGTCGATAGTGATAGTCAAAGTCAACACTACCGCATTGGTCAATGATCCGATTGTAATCGTGATAATCACCGTCGCCTTGCACCACGACCTGACTATGTGCAATGCGGGATCACCGTTGCCTTCATGTCTGATACTGTAATCCAACAGTGACAAAATAGCAAATGTATTTACTAATTGAGTTGGTCCTTAATAGCTTACTGAACACACACCATACAGATATAATCATTACATCCATACATCATGTCCACAAACAAGAGTACTTTTGATAATAACAATCGACATTAACATAACAACTATGTCAATTGATGTACTAACACAAGCGGTACATAGATTGTAGAATAAAGGTACTACTCCATACAGACTTACATAACGAAAATGAGGTAGATGTGCTCCGCTCCTATTTGACACTCATGCTTCCAAGGCATAGCTTCCTTTAGATTGGTAGCCAATGCACCATGGAACCCCTCTTCTTCCTCCCTTAGTCATTGTAGGAAAATTGTTCAAACACACTCAGACTCCACCACCTGCACAAAGCAACAGAATTAATAATATTCAACATACCGTTGCTTTAGTTATGAAGCCCAAATTAGCCTATATATTAATCAAAACAACTCCATACCTGAATAAACAAAATATAGCAAATGCACCTTTACTGCTCTGCTAATGACTCCATGAGCAAGGGAACATAAGGAAGATAGTGAGGTCCATTGATACATAGACTCCAGGTAGGTCTAGGATAGTTGATGACCCATGTAGAGAGGACATGAACTTTTATGTGGTTCATGTCATACACGAGCAGTGTTCTGTCCTCCCCAACAAGAAAAATCAAATTCTATTCTAGATGAACTACAATCACTCTGTAGTCCACATCGCAAACCTTGTAACCAAATTCAATATAGTTCTATCCAAATATCTCCAACGTGGTCACCGTATGCTTCAATATCCATTTATCTACAACATGGGCTTCATGGATGGAGATTACATCACCATGTGGCTTTTGTATTTTTGTCCATATCAACAGCAACAATCTGGAAGAACTCTAGCCAGTGCATAAAACCATTAAGAAACACACTTCTCGCAAATGTGGATACTATAATACCGTCACCCCATTTAGATTCTTTAAAGATCCATGCTGCACTCTTAGATGAGTAGATGCTCACACCTATGGACTCATCCTCCCTCATCTTCCCATATTCAAACACATGGAAGTACGAGGAGACTATCGGATCAAACCCCGGTGAGCCTCACCACAAGAACTGAGGTTATCTAGCAGTAGCAATCATTTGTTAGTCACAGGATTACAAACAACATAGCGACACCCAACGCACCAGCAGAGGATGACACTAGTAGAAATCTACACATCTATGATGAAAATCCTAGTGACGAATCAAAAACTATCATAGAAGATCGCTTTTTATAAAAAAAATTATATCATCATGGATCATTGGTGACGATCCTCTTCCCCTGCCTATCTATGATGAAATCAGATATCATCACAAAAATTCATTTTAATGATATAGGGTTTCATCATAGATCACACGCGCAACTGATCTCGCTTATCTGTGATGATCTAGGGTGCATTTGGTTGGTTACCAGACTTTGTTAGAGCTCGCCACACTTGCGACTGCAGTTCGCTTGCTTTCTAGACCTCCAGCGCCGCCACAAGTTCCTAACTGCACGCAAGTCATTTTGGACGCCTCAACTCGCCAAATGTTCGGCGATTGTTTTTAGCGCGGCACTTTTGGCGGGGATGCGGCGTAAGTAGGCATCAGCCAAATGCGCCCCTAATTTAGAATTGTGACAACCAAACGTTCCTCATTGAACTAATTATCCATCTATGACAAACAGATTTCGAACTGTAACGAACGACACTCCATCATAAATCTCCACATGGTCCTTTCTCCATCCGACGTGTACCTATGGGACCCACGATCACTTATCCGTGATGAACGGTTTTACAATTGTAACAAACGCCACTTCATCAAAAAGTCTCCACGCGGTTCTTTCTTCATCCGACGTGTACCTGTGGGACCTTTCTTCATTGACATACACACCAACTACGCATCTATGTGTTGAATTAGAGTTTCTAGTCCACATGAGAAAGTCTAATTCCTAAAACTTTTGGTTTAGGAGTGCACATCAGATGCTCTATGTGTTTGGTGGGTGCCATGTTTTTGCATTAAAAGTCACTATACAATTAATGAGTGAATACAGCTAGTAGTCACACACTATAGTAAGGTACTGTATGCCAAAAGTTGTTAAGGTGCTTTGGCAGGTATGCTAAAAACAAGGCAGCTTTAATGAGTAAAGGCCTACCGTTATCAATATGTTTTGTTGGCAACTTATTTCCTTCACTCAACCTTGAAGGGTTACATATTATAAAATATCTTGAAAGCATCCTAGAGATGACTTCTTGATGTTTATTTAGTCGGTGAAGGACACCACCTCTAGTAGTACATCACCAGTTCTCTCCCCCAGTTCTTTCTTTCCCTGGTATCCATGGCTTCTCATCCCTACCTCAAGAAAGTTCGTCGGTTGTTCTCTCGCATGTTGTTTCCTATTGGAGTTGATCCATTTCTTGCAGTATTGATAATCGCCTTTTGGATGTTTGCTGAAGAAGATGGCTATGTTGATTACTTTGAATGCATAAATGCATTTAATGGGTACAATATCTTGGTTATGGTTGATTCTGTGAGAAAGTTTGTTGTTGACCTTGTTCATCTTGCATCGAGTGACACAAATAGCAGCTCTCCTAGTGCGAAAGAAGTTATTGAAAGAATTAATTTCTACCTCAACAATATTTGCTCTGAGGCCTTGGGAGATCTACTTGAAGAGTTTGAGATCCAGGATTTAATCTATGAATATGCTCAAGATCATGATGAACATCTGAGGGAAGAAATTTGTGTTAGACTGGTAAGATTACTACTCAATCTCAACAAATAATCCTAGGTGATGTTTAGGGATTCCTGGGTTTGAGGTTAGGGTTTGCTGATCTTGGTCGAAGTTGGGTTTAATGGGAGTGTGGAGCATATCTGATGGTGTACAATGATGTGGTGGTTCTAGGAGGAAAGGAAGTTTCTCTAAGAGTTTAGGGTTAGGGTGGTGGGTGGTGCTAGTGACTAAGGAGGCAAATAGGTGGTGCAATCACTAGTAGTGGCGATAGACCAAACGATAGAGTATGCACCAAAGTTGGAGGTATGTAGGGTGGGGGAGCATCATGAGACCTTGCTAGAAGTGGTGAGCAAGGTCTCTAGGAAAGAAGAATGATAAGAGCAAGAAACATCCTAGCCATGTAATTGGTATATATGTCTCAAATTTGTCACTAAAAGCCAATGTTTTCTTATTGTATTTAAAGAGATTCCCTTTTTATATATAGATTCAAGATTTGTCACATCCATGTGTAGGGTATTGCAACAAACTTGGATGAATCTTCTAGTCAAGCCCAAAACACTTAAGGTCAAGCCACAAGTGCTTAGATGCCTAAAACTATAGAGGAGTCAACAATTTTATCTCGTTCAACTAACTTTCTTGAAGACATGTTTGAGAATGTAGATGTAAGGATGGGAAATTAGTTTTTACATCATGCCCATGAGGGATCAATTAACAATTAATGGTCATACCAAACTCATTGCTATGTTGGATTAAGTATTTTCTTTCAAATTATTTAGGAACTCCTGCCTCATCCAAATAACATTCCAAAAGAAGAGAGAACTCATGCCTCATCCATTGAGGAAGAAACGGGTGAGGACTCAGGGAAGAAGCTCGAGCACCAGTAGCAGGGACCTTTGGTGCAGGTGGCCGACGACAAAGGTGGCCGACGGTGGAGGTGGGAGGCCAGGTGGAGGTGAGTGGCCATGGAGACGACGAGTGCCGATGTCCTCCAATTCCACTCAATATGGAGGGGTTAGGCTCTATATTGGGATAGGCCCCTTCCAATTATAGTCCAATACCATGGAAATGGGTCTCCATTGCTAAATCTCAATTCCACAAACATCCAAACACTAGCATTCGAGAAACATGATTCCAATTCCCAAATTTGGGCTCCAATATCGACATTCAAACGGGGTATAAGAGCTTTGGGTAAGGGTGGTGGGTGGTGCTAGTGACTGAGGAAAATAGGTGGTGCAATGGCTAGAAGTGGCAATAGACCTAACGACAAAGTATGCACCAAAGTTGGAGGTTGTAGGGTGGGGGAGTATGACAAGACCTCGCTGGAAGTGGTGAGCATGGTCTCTAGGAAAGAAGAATGATAAGAGCAAGAAACATCCTAGCCATGCAATTGGTATATATGTCTCAAATTTGTCGCTGAAAGCCAATGATTTCCTTGTTGTATTTAAGGAGATTCCCAATATAGGTTCATGATTTATCACATCCATGTCTTTGGGTAATGTAACCAACTTGGATGAATCTTCTAGTCAAGCCCAAAACACTCAAGGTCAAGCCACAAGTGCTCATATGCCCGAAACTACACAGAGGCAACAATTTTATCTCGATAAACTAACTTTCTTGAAGAAATGTTAGAGAATGCGGATGTAAGGATAGGAAATTAGTTTTTACATCATGCCCATGAGGGATCAATTAATAATTAATGGTCATACCAAACTCATTGCTATGTTGGATTAAGTAATTTATTTCAAATTCTTCAGGAACTCCTGTGTCAGCCCAATAACATTCCAAAAGAAGAGAGAACTCTGCTTGTGATTTTATCTGATGGGTATACATTGACTGAAGATGAACTATTTGATTTCTTTAGCCGGTAACATTGTCTTCTCAACCATATTAAGCCTATACATGTTCAAAGTTTTACATTCAGAAATGTGCATGGTTATTTTGGTGAAATATTTAATATGGAACGATATATCATTAGCTTTATTGGTATTCCTATCAACATTGTAGTTAACTATAGCAAGAGAAAACAATAAGTAAACATTAAAGTTAATAGAATTATGTACTTAGAAATTAAATAAATAAGAGGCAGATCCAAAGACCAACTATCATATATAAGGTATTTATGTTTTGTTTGTAGTGAAATAGTATCAATTGGTGTGCACTAGATCAACATCTACATATTTGAAGATTGCTGGCCAGATGGCTTATCAACAATAGAGAGAACAATAATTACGTAATGATTTTTTCGTCATATGCATACTTTACATGGATAATTGTGATTAATATATTTTTCATTGAACTATTTTGTCCCTTCCTTGAAAATAACTGTATATGAAGTCAAAGAAATCCTCCACGACACCAATGCCAACATTTATTTAACATAAGCCACTAAATTAAGCATGCCTTGTCATTGCAACATTTCATTGATTGTTCTGTCTTTTTAAGAAATAGCTTGTATTGTATTTGAAGCACCTCAAACACCATCTTTTGGAAAAAATTGTATCTATCAAATTAAAATATGAATGGAGATATTGTCCAAACGATCCTTGTAATTGAATTCGTTACAATAGAATGATGAAGTTCATAACATGTGGCATCGTTATCATCCTTCAAAGATGATATCATGTTGATTCATTTATTTGTTGTTTCCATTTCATAGTATCTTGTATTCACATCCCTCCCTTTATTAATCATTAGTGG